ATATTTAAGCAAAGAAAAAAGAGCATAGAATATAGAAATGCTAATAAAGTATTAACATAAGCCTATAATGAGGCTTTTTATTGTTTCACCCCCAAGCTCTTTTGCTTATTTAGGAAGTATTGATAAATTATCATCAATAATCAGCTGAATGGGGTGAGCATAATTATCCAAGTCAGTTATAATCATCAATATAGAATTAAGGATTCTTTTCATATCTCAAAAGTCTGAATTAGAAGCCATTTGATCAGCTCATAGGTGTTTACCTCTCCAATTGCCAACAATCGATCCTTATAATTCTCGATTATGGGCAAAGCTACATCTAAATCCTGGGGGAGAAAAAAAAGTGTATTTGTTAAAATAGAAGGAGAAGGAAACTGAAATATTTTATAAACACCTATTAAATGCCAGGCACTATGCTGTACGGGGTGCTTTACATTTAGTCTATTCCTTTAACCATTTGAGGAACTAGGAATAGTAATCCTTCTAGAATGGCAAGCACTTCTATCTGGAAATTTGAGTAGTAACATCCCCACATCCATTCAAGTCACAAGAAGATAACTTTTATAAAAATTAACACTTAAACACTTCCTTCTGTTTAGGAGGCATTTCCTGGCATTTAGGAGGACTGATTTGATTTCCTGGAACAGATGAGCAAGAGAGAAGAAAGCCACCAGGCCGGCACCTTTTTAAGTGAGTTTTTGGGAGTGTATTATGTTATGTTCTCCTCTTAGGGTACCAATGGTTTGTGAGGTTGTAACAGTGATAATCCTATACATCCTTTGTACTCTTTTCACTGATTTCTTTTGTCTTCATAATCTTGTTTAGCCTACTTTTGTCCTAAAGGTTCAACAATATAAACACTAAATATCATATATATGCTCATTTACCAACTATTGAAGTAACTGTGTACCATTAGTTTCCATGATATTACTACTTCACTTAGAGAATTTGCCCTGTGAGGTTTTCCTTGTAAGGCAAGGGAATGGCAAATATGTGGAAAATTTGCTTCTTTTAAAGTACTTTGAAGATTGTAGTTTCAGGACATGTAAATTGCATATTGAGATTAATCAGAACAAGAGAGAATTTTAAAAGGGAGGTAAAACAGGTGGTTGAGGAATAGGAGATTTTACAATTATGCTCTGAGAAAGAGCTACATGGGGGTATTCAAATATAGGAATACAGATTCATTATTACAAAAAATGATAGACCTCATATCTTAATTTATTCAGAGGTAATACAAAGTCTTCACTTCTTCAAAACAAGGCTATTGATCCTATTATGTAACAAAACACTCAAGAAACTGCATCTCCCTGATGCTGAATCAGGAGACAAGTCTGAAATGTAAGACACATTGGCTCCTGTGAATCAGTGAGATCTCGTGGGTAGGATCTTTTTTAGAGAGGGTATGAAAGCCATGCACTTTAATAGATCAAGAACACTCCTATAGAGATGGTTCAACGTTCAAAGAAGATACTGTGTACTTGAACTCATCTGTTCCCTTACAGTACTGCATCTACGCATGCATTTGTATCTTTCTTTCTCTGGATACTTTATCGCTTTTTTGCCAAATCAGTACAACAATATGATTAAAAAAACAACAAAAAAAGGAAAAACAAATCACCTGTAATTATACAAGATCATCACAGCTACTATCATTTCTGTTTTTCTCTGTAGTCTTTTCCTTATAGGATGTATCTTTACGTGATGTCACTCAGAGTGAATAAACTATAGGTATCCTGCATTTCTCCCTATATTATACTGCAAACACATGCCATGTTGCTACATAAACCTTATAGTCCTCATTTTTAATAAATGCATTATATTTAACACTCTACAAGCTAATTATTCCTTTATTTCTGAACTCCTAGGCTGTTCCCCCTTTTTCTGTATTTCAAATAATTCTACAACAAACAGTTCTGGGAAAGAAGGTAGCATTTCCTTCTTTTAGATTATTGCCTTACACTATAAATCAGAGAGAGGAGGACCACTGGGTCAAAGGTATTATCATGTTTTATGGTTCTTGTTTTATCTGTTACCTTTAATGTGACACTTCTTTGGTCTTCGGGTGAAAGTCCCTGAACTGGATGAACACCCAAGCATGGCAGGATAAATCCGTTATACCTAAAAGTGTAGAATTAATTAAGAAAGCAGAACATTAGACTAGTAGACAATGTTACTCTAAACAAAAAGTAGGAAAGAATTTTTTAGGGCTATATTAATAGTTTTCTCATTCTCTTTAAAAATGGGTAATAGTTGATATTATAAACATGACGTCATAACTGCATCCTTATTAGCAACGCTTTAAGTTCTTAATGAGAAGTAGCACCTTTCTGAAAGCTGCATAATCTTTTCAAATTCTCCTGAATGTTCAGCGACCACCACAAGAGCCATAACATTGGCCTGAAACAAAAAAGAATAGAGCAGAGTCTCAAGCTATATATATCCAATATAATTAAATAAAATTATAAAGTTTTCTGTGCTGCTTGCTCATCCATATTCCATTAGTATAATCATAATGGCTATCACTGAGTACTGACTATGTTTCAGGTACAATGTTCAATGAACATAAATAAAATCTACACCACCTTATAAAGTGGCATTGTTATAATCCATTGTATAGATCAAGAGACAGGATTTTGGATGGAGTCAAATAATTTGCCCAAGATCATTAGGCCTGTGTAACTCTAAAGCCCACACCCCTAATTAATGTCGTAGTGAAAGATGGCTGTATATAAAAATATACTAGCAGCTATTTCTGACTAACAGTTTGGGGGAAGACTGTGAAATGCTAGTTACAATGAATTTCATAAACACTTCCAAAAATTAATTCTTTTCCCAAACAAATCAAAATGTTTCAGAAAATTTTTATAGTTTCTCCAAGATTTCCAGAACAATGTTAGTTTTAGAATTAACAGATGGACTAATCTGTTCCATATTGCTGGTAAGAATGATAGCTGGGGGAAGATGTTTTAGATTCAGACTCTCTTATCTGCATCATTTTACTAGCAGTGTGTCTTTGGACAAGATAGTCTCTAGGACTTAGTTTCCTCATCTGTAAAATGGGCAATGGTTGGCTAAAAAATAGCAACTTCCTCAGAAGGTGTTGTGAAACATTAAATGAAATAATATACAGAAAGGGCTTAGGTCAGTACCTGTTATACAGTAAACACTTAATAAATGCAACTTATTTTTACTGAAGCATCAACATAACGTATCTAAATTTCAAGTTGTTCTACCTTGACATTAGTAGGAAAACATACAAAAAAGGGCAATTATAGATACTGACTTACTTTCTTGGCTTTCTCCAACACATCATCGAGATCCTAAAATAAGCATAAGTTATCACAATTATTTTAGATGAATCAGTAACTGCTCTTTGGCTGTGTACGTCAGGTACCATAAAGAATGACAATGATGGCAAGGAACAGTGTGGTGGAATGTGAAGAACCTGCACTGACCCACCTTCTGCTTCCTTTCTCTTCTGTTTCCACTCCACTAAGACAGAAACCATTACTGTCAAATGTGAAGGGCACTTCTCTCTCCTCTTACTCTACCCCTCAGCGGCATTTAGGAACTCCTCACTTGTCCACTCCTCCTTTCCTGAAATACTTTCCACTCTTGGCTTCTGCAACACCACTCTCCTGCAAACACCACTCTCTTACTGGCTGCTACTTTTCAGCCTCCTGGACTGGCTCCTTCTCCTCCATCTGATTTCAGGACCCTAAGCTCCTCTTCTCTGTACTCACCTTAAGTGATCTCATCCAAGGGTTTAAATATCACTATTATGCTAATGAGTCCCCAGTTGTTATCTCCAGCCCACTATTCTTTCCAAAACCCAAGATTCACATTTAAGAATGACTACACGACATCTCCACTTGGGCGGATCTTAGGCTTCAACCCGTACCAAAGACAACTCTATTTTCTCCCCGACAAACCTATTCCTTTTGCCTCCCCTCCCCAACCCGTCTTCCCTCATCTCTGTAGCCGGCACCACCATCTCCCTCCTGCATCAAGTCCTCCCTTTCCCTCCCTCTCCACATCCAATTCCCCAGCATACACTCTAGATCCCATCTCTAAAATAATACCTTGAGCCCATCTACTTCTCTCAAGCTCCCCTGCAACCACCATCATCCCCTGCCTACATACTGCAAAAGCCTCCAAATTGGTCTTCTAGCTTCCACCCTCGCTCTCCTCTATCCGTTTGCCATACATCAGCAAAATAGTTTGTCTATCAGATCTTGTCACTCTTTTAAAAACAAAGACCTCCCCCCCCAAAAAACACACACCCTTTACTAGATTCGCGCTGTTGTTGTAAATTAAATTCAAACTCCCGACCGACCGACCTCGCCTGTCCCCTGCAAACCACCTCCGTCTCGCATCAGGCCTCTCTCTCTAGCTCACCAGGCTCCGCCCAGCGTTTTGGCAGCTGGAGGTGCCAACTCCTCCCGGCGGGACGCCCGCCGCGGGTTCGGCTGCCCCGCCCCCAGCAGACTCCGCCCCCCCTCCGCTCCGAGCCCGGGGTTCCCAGGCGGCGCGTGACGCGCTCGGTCACGCCCCCCGCGTGCGCGCTGCTCTTTCGGGTTCGCTCCGGGGCGAGCCCGAGTTTCGGGGAAACTGGGTTCTCAGCCGGGCCCAGCGGAGGTAGGGGAAGAGCTCCAGCGACAGCAAATGCAAGTGGAAACACAGAGCTCAGGCTGTTCAGGGTCGGAAAGGAAAATCAGCATGACTGCGGTTCGAGCCAGAAGCGCCGGCCACAGACCAGCCGGGGTGGCTCGAGAGCTCCGTCCTGAGAGAGGAGAGCGAAGGTAACCCAGGCAAAGGGCGGGGGTCTCCCCGCTCCCACTGCCCGGCCTCGCCCTCACTTACGCGGTCGAAGTCTGGGGCGGAGAGGTGGCAGTGGCAGTCCACCAGCCCTGCGCCCGCGGTTCCCATCACCGCCGCCCGCACAGCCCCGCGCGTCTCGCCCGCGGAGACTCAGCCAGCAGAGCCTCAGCCGGAACCCTGCTGCGGCGGCGGACGCAGTTTCCGGCCGCACGGCGGACCTCCCTGCGGTGGAGCTCGCTTCCGCTCCCAGAGTTCCCGCCCCCAGTTTAAACCGGGAAAATGGCGGGGGCTCCCGAGTCGGTGGACGTTTTCCCTCCGCGGGATACGGAGCGAGTGGCCGGGACAGAAGACCGGACCTCGGTCCCCGCCACCTCCCGTGAGGACTTCCGCGTGCGCTGCACCTCGAAGCAGGCCGTGACGGAACTAGTGGAAGAGTGCGGCCGCTTCGTGCGACAGCTCGGCGACGCGCTGCCGGAGGAGATTCGGGAGCCTGCGCTGCGAGACGCGCAGTGGGTACGGGCCCAGTAGCCAGCACTTTGTTTTATCACCCTCTTACCCCGGGTTTCAGGGCTCAAGGGCCTGCGCCAGGCTTCGGCCGAGCTAGCGGTGCCTC